TAATAGAAATTTATAATATAATGTATTTTCCATTTTAGAAAGTATCCCTTAATTTTTACTATAGAAAATAAGGACCTTCCTCTATTTCCTCCAATATCTCTGACTCTACCCCTCACAAAGCCCTATGCTTTAAAAATGATTATTTCCCATTGTATTAGTTTTTGAGTCAGTATTGATTATTTGTGTTATTTTTACTATGTATACAACATGCAGATTATCCACGTAGTATATATGATTGCATTTCCTTTCTGATAAAACTGTTTTTCCTAGAGATAATAACTGGTTCCTCTAATATTCTCTGTAATTCTTGCTATTAATAATTTTCCACCTAAATTGTCTCTCATCATTATACAATTCATCTCAGTGTACACATGTACATTTCATTCTAAAGATGTTTTTTCTTAGAGTCATTTTTTACAGAAACTTATTATATGAATTTCCATCATAGAAATTCTCTTACACAGACATTTCCACTGAATTCTTGGCTTTCTTGTTGCCTTGTCTATCTCTCTAGTCACTTCTAAAAATATATTTCAAAGCAGAAATAAATTCTAACCCAAGATTTTAAAGACGTCTTTGCTTGCCATCTTATTTCCAGTGTTCATTCTGAGAAACCTGACATCATCTTCATTCAGAATTCCTCTAATACAATCTTCTGTTTCTCTGAAACCATTAAGGATATTTTATTTATGTGACCCACATTCTGAAATTTCACAGTGATGCTTCTGAAAGTACTCATTTTTTATTCTTTTGTTCTACCGTATTGTCCAGGATTCTCTTTGCTCTAAAGACTTCATCATTAGTCCCAGAAGGTTGCCTGTTTTTCTTAATTAGCACACAGAGGGGTGCAGAGGTAGTTCAGTAGTTAAAAGTAGGTATAGCTCTCTCAGAGTTCCCACCTTTGATTCTTAGCACCCACATCAGGTGACTCACAATTATCTGTAGCTCCAGTTAGATTTAACTCTTCTGGCTTCTGTGGATACTAGCAGTCAAATGCACACACACACACACACACACACACACACACACACACACACACACTTCAAAATTTAAAAAAAAGAAATCTTAAAAAGATAGCACACAGAATAATGGACTTTACTAGGATCCATTCACACATGCATATGATGTACTTTGCTCGTATTTGAAGGAAAGATTCCCTCCAGTTTTTATGAAGTGCTCCTGAGGAATGATCACTTCTCTGTGATTTTTGAAATTAAAATAATTGCTAATGAATTTTAAGACTCAAATAATTTTCCAGCATTTGTCACTGTGTCCATTACCTTTCCCAAAGCGTGTCCTAGAATAGTAAGTCTCTGGAAGCAGAGGAAAGATTTCTTCCATCAAGTAGGAAATTCTATCAAGCTTACCTTTGGGCTTAGATGTTTGTAGAGACAGAAAATGAACCAAAGATTTCATCCTGTGAGGATTTATCTAGTGCATCTACCATACCCGACATCACTCTCTATTCTATTAAAGAAAAAAGAGAGGTAAGGAAAGGGACAGCAGAAAGATGATATTCCCAACTGGTGTGAGAGTCTTCACAATATTCATATCCATCAATGATGCTACTATTTTTTGTTTATATGAGTATCTTGCATAAAATTAAAAGGTGCAACCAGAAAGACAGAACATAATATCTGCATTTCTATCTCTACGTTTAGCACAGTATCTACCATTCTTTAAATAGTAAATGAGGTTTTAATAGTGATTGTTCTTGTACTGCTCTCCACTGGATACCACCACACACTGTTCCAGCCACACAGGGGCTTTCCTTATGCCATCGTCGTTGTCGTCTTCATCATCGTCATCGTCTTCTTCTTCTTCTTCTTCTTCTTCTTCTTCTTCTTCTTCTTCTTCTTCTTCTTCTTCTTCTTTTTCTTTTTCTTCTTCCTCCTCCTCCTCTTCTTCTTCTTGCATCATGTAGAACTGACAATAATCAATAAAGTTTCTTCTAACTGGAAAAGCAAATTACAAACTGTGTGTGTATTTCAGAAGTAAATGTAAACTACAATGTGAGGATTTAACATGACAGATTGGTCAGTGATTCTCAAACTAGAATGTCTCCACTTCTCATTTTTAGATACTATAATGTCCAATGGTGCTTAAGTCTAACTTATATGAGATGTTTATGTAAAGGAGCTGTACAAAATTATCAAACAACAGAAATCACTTCCTGTCTACACATGCTATGCAATAGTACCACAGAAAGTGGCTTTGAACACCTCATGAGGATTTTCTAGGACATATGCATGACTAGAAGTGTGTAGAGTCTCTAGGAACATGGACACAGTGATGCTTGAACACATGCATTGCATAAGTAAAAATCCCCATGGAAATTTACTTCATAAAATCAACACCCTAGAATGACCTACACTTTTCCAGACCCTCCATCCAAATCCTCAGCAGCTGAGCTCATTTTGAATAAAATTGCATGAAAAGGATTAGGAAAGAAATGTAACAGAAATGTGTGGAATAGTGGTCCCCGGTTTTGAAGATAATTTTAAATAAAACAACTGGAGATAGACTCCCTTAGGGAAAGTCAGGCTTTTAAAAAAGAATCCATCTTACAGCATGGGTTTAGTCAGTTCAGATAATTTAGAAAACTGGGCTGGTGTGCTTAGATGCAGTGCCAATAACTCAATGCTTCTATTTATTAATAATTTCCCTGGCTTTAAGTGGAAGATTTAACTATGAAATTAAAAGAATCTGGATTTAAATAAGAAGTGTGCATAGGAAAGATGATGGAGATGAAATACTTTAGGCCACAGACTGTGGAATAGTGTTGAAAATATAATGATGTTGTCCATAATAATAAGTAGGAAATATTTTAGACAGCATAGGGTCATAAAATGATTTTAAAATACTCTGAAAGCCTAGATTAGAAATGAGGACAGAGTTACACTATAGTGAATCTGACTAACTTACAATCCCTGTGTGTGTGTTGTTAGATCGTCTCAGAATTTGTTGAACTACCACACTTCAATATGACAGAAGCACTGACCTACTTGCCATGGCTAAGTAGAATAAGTTACAACTATCATATGCTCTTAGAAGAAAAAAATACTGTGTATTGATTTTTCAGATTCAGCTCAAAGTTTCTGGGGAGCTCAAAGAACTGTGTTTCTCTTTAGTGAAAGAAATGAAACCAGAATTCAAGCTCAACCTAAACACAAATGGGGCTTAGGAATGGCACAGTAATACCACTTGGCATTTCTTAAGTTAGCCTGTTCCTTCTACACTGGATAAAAATAAAGAAAAGAAAGCATCTAAAACAGAACCACCCTATTACAACCCAAATTTGCCCATGAAAGCAGAAACATTCTGGCCTGCATCTGAGTCTTTTTTCCACTTTCCGTAGCCTCCCACACTATAATGACTTATGCATGGAATTCAGAGGCTTTATATTTTTCTTCTCAGTGCAAGGTGAATGCCAACATGGAAAATATGAATGATGGTCATTTTCAAAGATGGCCACAAACCTCGGAAGGAATCAAAAAGTATCCAGAAGGATATTTGGTCCTACCAGGGTACCAAAATGCTAGCACATCTTAATTCCATCCATCTTTATAGGGTGTGACTATTTACCTTTCTAGCATGTGCTTAGTTAGAATAACTTGAAATTTTTGGTGTGGAGTCAGAGTCCTTTTCAAAAGATGGGATTGAAGCCAGTCTAGCAGTTAATCTGGTTTATGGCTGAGGGCAACATTATATGCTGGCAGTTCCTGTGCAGAGCAGAAACTAAAAACTGTCTGCTCTTTCAGTGGGATTTTTCATTCACAGTCTAGTAATGTGTTTTCACTGTAGATTGACATTTGAGTTAGTCAGTTCTAGAAGGCTGACTTTAACATGGATACAACTTGCTTCCTTTAAATAGTTTAAATAATTCAAGAGAGAGGATGCAGACCTGGAAAGTTCTTACATTTTGTCATTTCCTTACATGTGATTTTGTTGTTTGCTTAAATCTGTATGGTCCAAGTCCTAACAGAAACGTACGAACATCTTTACAAGGAAAGAGAGTAAGACTTGAGTATTTGAAGACTGGATCTAATTGTTTTATTATGCTCACATCTCCTTTTGGGTTCACCTGAACTGCTTCACAATAGAATTCATACATAGTAAAAACATGAGGGAAGAGGATGATGAAGGTTAAAATATCATAATTCTGTGGAGACAATGAACTCCATTGGTTATTTGAGCCTGGCCCTTGAAAGCTCGATCTAATTTAAAACATTGGCTCATGTCCTAGATCTATTGCTTTGAATACATATATACATATATATGTATGTATATATATATGGCTTCAACAATATTTCCATGATATTAATAATGGCAGAAAATGAATATATGGATAGAAGTATCTATCCTAAAGCCTAAAGCCTTATAATAAAATGAGTCATACTTTCTTATTCATGAATTGTGAGTTAATATGAACTAAACTGTATTATTCTGCTTCTCTGTTATACCCTGGGGTAGAGACATCCTGGTCACTAGAACCAGTATGAGTTCTTTTACACACTAATGTATTGCATATGCTGTCTCTGTTGCTCAAGTTTGCAGGACCAGTTCCCTGGTGGCCTTTGTTTCGATTCAAACCAAACAGCAAATCAATTTCCTTAATGGCTTTTGTTCACAAAAGTAAATCAGGAAAGCATGCAAAGCCAGAGCAAAAAGTTAGTTTTTCCAGTGAATGTTATTAAGTATTGCAATTCAAATATTTTCTTAATGGAGCTTAAAACGTTTTGGTACTTATATCTTCATTCACTAATAAACCAGCCCAATTGGTTTTTAAGTACTGATAAGGTTTCACTAAAAATACTAAATGCAATTTTTTTCTCTAATATTAGACTGATTCTGAGAAACAAAACCATTAAGTCTATTAAGCAAAGGCTTTGTATTATTTCCTACCTCTGTTTAACAGCACAGATTTACATTCTTTGCCATGAAATATTATTACCTTGGAAATGTATCTATAACAGCATATTTTCAAATTTTTTTAACAGGCAACAAAATGGCAGAACACACTCTCTTCCGTGATCCATGAATTCAAAATCATCTTTGGTCATTTTCCATCCCTGGTGAGCGTCATACGGAATGCATCTCCTTGTCTGTTGCTAAGCTATGGCGACATGTCTGTAGCTATCAGAAAAAGGAGCTGGGAAGAGCATGTGACCCAACAGACTGGACAGCCTTTTAATTCTGATGAGTATGACATAGCATGTCACCACGGACTGGCATCCGACAGCTTGCAGGCAAGTATGGAAAAAGATGCAACCTTAAATGTGGACCAGAAAGAGAAGTGTGCCTCTCTACCAGACTGCTGTTGTGGGCCAGAGCCTAGAGACTTTCCTGGGAGGCCAATGGGTCACATTTCACAGGAGGTGGATGAAAGTGGCAGCCAGGAAGGAGACGAGCAGTTTCTGTCTCTGGAAGCCAGCACAGAGACACTAGTGCACATTTCTGATGAGGATACTGATTCTGATCTCCACCTCATCAATGATGCACAGATTTCAACTCCCCAAAGACACGAAAGAGACAGTCAACACTGTGTCGAAGGAGCAGGCTCCTTCATGAAGGCATTGTCCATCAGGCAAAGTAACCAAGACTCATATAACTCCTGGAGGAAAGCTGATGAAGCCAATGTCTCTACAGCAGAAGAAAGAGGGAACAGGCAAGGTGTTGGTGCTGTAAGTAAAAGCCTGGAGCTTTGTAAGGATATAAGTTCAAATGAAACAAAAGATGTGCCCCAAGTAAATACATTCGGTTCTTTGAACGTGGAAGATACTACACCCGAGACACAACTGCTTAATTCTGCGGTAATCGCTCAACAGCGAAGGAAACCAGACTTCTCTAAAGAGGAACAGGAAAAAACATGCCACCCTGTAGTAGAAGAAGAGTTCTTGGCTGCTCCTGGTGCAGACAGAGGGCTGCCATTATTGAAAGCAGATTTCAGAAGCTGCCTTCTGCAGCCGCCTTCCTGCCCCGGTGGAATGTCAGCAGAAAATGACCTGGAGAAGACTGGGTTCTCAGAACATCAAAACAACAGCCCTCTCAAGGTCAACATAGACCATGGCATGCAGTGTTTACACTCAAGGGGCCCAGTGACCACCCAGGAGACCATAGACAATCAGGTCAGACTGCGCAAGAGAAAGGTAAGCCTCACGCATAGATCATCTGGCTTTCGAAATGTTGGTAAATATTCTTATTTTCATTACTTACGAATTTGCTTGGGCTGAAAAGGATGCACAGATGTTTAGTTTCATTTTGTTTGGACTCCGTTATGTAGCCCATACAATTTAAAGACCATTCACTTGATAAGATTATGGAGATATGTGAGAGTTGACATATAATGATCTTACGATTTCACTAATAACGTTGTGTTGGTTTGCGGCCTTTTAAAATTGTTTCAAGATAGGAATCAACACGGCTTGCTTTCCTTGGAAATTAGTAGCCACCACCCACAGCCTGCCACTTTGTAGTTCATGGCCTTCTGGAAAATGACATGTAAGTTTTATAAGAAAGAGTGAAGTGTACTTACTTAATTTTGTCTCATTTGCTTGGCCTTGTTTTCTTTTCCAAAGCATGTTTAGTCATTTTCACTCACATATTTAAAACAAAAACAAACAAACAAAAAACAACTTGGGACAGGTAAAATGGCTCAGACGGTAAGGGCATACGGTTCTCTTCCAGAGGACCAGAGTTCAATTCCCAGCACCCATGAGGAGTGGCTCGCAACTACCTGTGATTCCAGCTCCAGGGCATCCCATGCATTCTCCCAGCCTCTGTGGGCCGCTGCGCTTATCTGCACATACCTACATGCAGATGCACACATATACACAGAATTTAAAACTACAATAACTCTTGAAAATTCAAAATAATCCTGTCCATATGGAAAGACAATACCTCACATGTACTTTAAATGTTACTCTAGTACATCCACTATCAATAGACACACCATTAAGCCTTTTCTTGAAAAGGGCCACTACATGACATTCATTTTTATTTTATACCAAGGCCCCTTTGAATGAAACTAAGGATTCCCCTGAGGAATCTTCCAGATCAGAAAAGTACAGGGGTGGCCCTACATGACTGAGTTAGCATTGAACTCTTATTCAAGGTTGCATGCTTCCTTTATGTATATTTTTAAACATACATAAACTGATGTAAATCTGGTAGTTTCTTCTCCGGTCACTCTTCTGCTACAGTTGAAGAAACCCTGAAGATTGGAACACTTTGTGCAGTAAAAATTTTTTAAAAGATACTTTTCTTCTCCTCTCCTGGTATAATCTTAATCCATAAATTCACAATTACAAAACATAAAGTAGATATTCTTCATTCTGTTGAACTGGGTCTACCCACCTACTGTTTGAGAGGGACCTTTCCAAGTCTCTCTTATTTCCATAAACTATGGTTTTTATTAACAAACTACATCAGTAGTGTATCACTAGTTCACTGAAATGAGCTCAAGGGCATTACTGCAGACATCAATATGCTCAGCCTGTATACCTACAATATTCTGTGCCTCTGGCGAACACTCCCTTCCTTGTGTAAGTTGTATTGAAATGTCAGTGCTCCATTAAATTGTTATGATTGGAATGTTCAGGTCCCATTTCCAGAAATTTCCATATGTCCTCTCAAATCTGTTGGAGAGAATGCAATAATGACACAAGACAATATTAACTGACTCATGGCATAGCTCCCTAAAATAAGATAAATCTGGCCGCACTGCCTACCAACACATTGAACATTCCTGCAACATATGCTCATGGTTGGCCATTGATATCAATATGAGGAATGCCGGAAGGAATCTGCTCCTCGACATACTGCTAAAGGCTGCACTTTGAAGGCTGTAGTTATATCTCATTTGCAAGTTCTAATTTAAATTTTCTATTTTAAGCATTTCAACACCCCAAAGTGTTGCAGCATTAAAACCTTTTGGCTTGCCTTGGAATGGGAAGATTACATGCAAACATATAGGTTCAAAATTTGAAGATTACATGCTATAGAAAGTGTGGCTAAGATAGAAACCATTAGAATTACAATGTGTAGCTCGAATCTTAAAAGGTCTTATTAATAAAAACAAACCTGGAGCCAGGTATTGGGGTGAACGCTGAAAGATTAGAGAAACAGAACAAGCCACAGCTAACCTCTCCTAGCCAATTCCTCAGCTGCTCCTGTTTCCTCAGACTGGAAGCCTCTGAGTCCTCATCCAAATGGATCTCAGCTGAACTGCTACTCACAGCCTGAAAGCTTAACCAGGCTCTAGTCCCTGGTCCTCATGCCTTACATACCCTTCTGCTTCCTGCTATCACTTCTTGGGATTAAAGGCATGTGTCACCATGCCTGGTTGTTTCCAGTGTGGCTTTGAACTCACAGAGATCCAGATGGATCTCTGCCTCTGGAATGCTAGGATTAAAGGCGTGTGTACTACCATTGCCTAACCTCTATGTTTAATATTGTGGCTGTTCTGTTCTCTGACCCCCCCAGATAAGTTTATTAGGGTGCACTATATTGGGGAACACAATATCACCACAAAAATGTGTAATAACTGTTGTTTTACCTGTTATTAATGAGGGTTAAATAACTATGAATTAAAAATCAGCTCAAATTGTACCAAAATAAACAAATGTATACATAAAACGATATGTACAGAGATATTTACTAAAACTAAAAACTAAAGGAAACAGCCTAAATTTTGATCAGTACATAGGTCACTATTATGGACTGTATAGAATACTATACAGCCATTAAGGACTTGGAGTGAAGGGCTAGCAGAGATGGCCCAGTCAGTAAAGTGCTCACTGGATAAGCAGGAAGAACTGAATTTGATTTCCCAGAATACATGTAAAAAGCTAGGTGTGGCAAGGCATACCTTAACCCCAGCACTCAAGGGCCAGAGACAGTGGGATCCATGGGCTTGCTGGACAGCTGGTCTAGCCAAGTGGTAATGTCAGGGTCAATGAGAGACCCTGTCCCAAAAATAAAATGGAGAATTGGGGCTGGAGAGATTGTTCAGTGCTTATCTCAGGGGACCTGGGTTCAATTTCCAGCACCCACATGTTGTCTCACAACCATCTTTAACTCCAGTCCCAGTGGATTCAATGCCTCTTCCAGCCTCCATGGACACCAGACGTGTACTTGGTGCACATACATACATGCAGGCATAACACCCCCACATACACACACAAAATAAAGTTGAAATTAAAAAAAAAAGAAAAGAAAAGATGGAGAGTGATAGAGGAGAACACTCAGCATCAACCTCTGGCCTCCACATACATGTACACCCTTACAATCATATGCATACACATAAACAGAGAGATACAAGAGCACACACACACACACACACACACACACACACAAGATTAAATGAAAAATCATGGCACTCATGTTAAAGATATCCACGGTATTGTTCATGTCAAATTAGTAAGTATAGCATATTCCAGTTTGAGTGAAAAGTGTATCTGTATGTTTAGAAATTAATAAACTATATGTTATATGTCTTAGTCAGTGTCCTGTTGCTATGAAGAGACACCATAACCAAGGCAACTCTTATGAAAAAAAGCATTTAGCTGGGGGCTTGCTTACAGTTTCAGAGGTTTAGTACATTGTCATCATGATAGGAAGGAGATAGGCATGGTATTGGAGCAATACCTGAGTGCTTTACATCCTAAGTCACAGGCAGAAGGCGGGGAGAGAGAGGAGAGAAAGAGGGGGGAGGGAGGGAGGGAGGGAGGGAGGGAGGGAGGGAGGGAGGGAGGGAGAGAGGGAGGGAGGGAGGGAGGGAGGAGAGAGAGGAGAGAGAGGAGAGAAGAGATAAAGGGAGAGAGCTGTAGGCAAGCATTGTATAACCAGGCTATAGTCCTAACGTTTTTGTTTTTTGTTTGTTTGTATTGAGACAGAGTCTCTCTGAACTGGCCCGAGCTGACCTGGAATTCACTATGTAGCTCAGGCAGTATTTGAGTATGGATTGTTTCAATCATACAGTTTTGCTGCTTTAGCCTTCTGGATAGCTGGGATTAGAGGTCTCTGCCACAGGGTTTCCCGAAAACAATGTTGGCAGGGATGCGTGTGAACCACTTCTTCATGTCTGTACAACGTGAGGTGCCAGATACCAGAAATAGTTGGCTAAGCCATCTATCCAGTTAAAACTGCTTCTCAGCCATGGTATAACATGAGAAGAGAGATTGGAAGTGTGAAATAGACTGTGAGATCATCCGAGGTGGGGAATTTCAATCAGCTGATTAACTGATTGCCAAATAAGAGTACCAAATTCTTCACTGAATGTTCCGGCATAGATTTTCTTTCACTGGGATATAATCCATGTTCTAAGTCTGAAATAAAACAAACAAACAGAAAAACAGTAAAATAGGCTACAAGAGTCTTCAGTCTGCAGGGGGTGGCCTGAAATCCCCCTACTTGGGAGACTGACGCAGATGGATGGGAGATATGAAAGTAGCCTTCATTATATAATAAGATCCTGTCTCAAGGAACAACACAAAACAAATAAACCAATGGGTGATCTTTTGAATATGTTGCCTGGTACTCCTCTAGACATGGTGGGCCTCATATCTACATCATTACTCTTTGAAACCTGTAACGTGTAGCAGGCGCTCACTATTTTATATGACTTTGCCCAGTAATATCTGGAGTAGACACACATGAATTTATAAGAAGTCTCCATCACAGAGAACTGCATCCGTAGCCCACCTAACTAATGAGCTTTGGGGCTAATAATATACTTTTGAGCTTAAATATGTTAAAATAGTCCATGGAATTGAGACTGAAACCATGAAATACAAGGGAAACCAAGAGAATTGCAAGCAACCATCAATGAATGAGCCACACGGCCGTGTGGCATATGACGCCAGTGCCCTTACAGCCTTGGGTGAATCCCTGGGCTGAGACAGCTGCTTAAAAGCAGTCCTCAGAGACGCATTCCACAGAAGTCTGGAGGCGGGAGAGAGTCTAAGAAGTGGTCTCTTAAACCAAACGATATGTGAAGATGGAAAAGACATGGAGAAAGACTTGAGGTTGGGGGTTTTTGGAAAAGTTAGTGTTATTTGTCATTGATGGTGGTTTACTAATTAAAGAGTCCCAAATTCCATCTTCCATAAAGAGCATTTAAGTATTTACCAAGCTTTTGAGTAATATT